CTTCATCTACGATTCCCAGCACTTTCTTCTGCAGGGAAGCGAAAGGAGAAGTTCAACCTACTAGACTTATTCCTTTACTCTTTATATATTTTTCGCTAAAGGTATACATGATTTTATCGTTTGCATTACATTTATCGGTCGTATTGCAGCACATTACTCAGCCCACAGAGGTAATGTCAAAACGACCTGTCATAAAGATAAATGATGATAAGGCCCACCTCAAATTCAGTCTTCGGCTGAAGTGTAGATTGATCTGCTTTGGTCTTGATATAACTTAACCTGACGCCGGCCAAGGTCCCTGTGCTGGTGTCCTTGGCGCCGATAGTCACTCCGGAATTGAGGCACTTCTTCAGCCCGGTGCCTATTGCCCCTTCTGTTGCCGAGCCGTTCAAACGGGAGCCCATGGACTGAAAACAAGGGTTCGTGTCCGCTGTTTAAAGAATGCCTCCATGTTTTCTTTTGTTTTTTGTTTTTTTTTCATTGGTTAATAAACCCCATATATTCGTTATTATTTCCCAAACTGTCATGCATTGAAGTCCACAGAGGATTAGACAAAATGGAACGGTAACTCACAAGAGGCTCCCGGGTTAGAAATTCATCGTTGATCAACTTGGCCACCTCCTCGAAGGCCTCGGGTCCCAGAACCACGTACTCGATGCCCTTGGCGTCTCCCATCTCTGTATCAGCGACGTCGTACTCACTAAACTACGGGTGGAATGACATGGTACTAAGTGAAGGTGCGACTGGATCTTAGTAATTCAAATATGCAAGTGAAATTTTATGTAACTACGGCCAATTCTCTTTATTATTTTTCTAATTTCTTTAAGTAGTAATCAAATAAGTAAGCGATTCTACATTTTTTTTTCAACGCATTATGTACAGTCTAAAATCTAGTTATCTTGCTGCAAAGCATCTGGCTGACCTTCGGTAGCAATAATTCTTGTTGTCTCATCCCCCCCTCCCCTCCCACAGCATTTGAGATAAATCCCTTTTACCGGCAGCTGCAAGAGAACCCCTAAGACTGTTTGTTATCTCCGTTCCCAACCATGAGGAACGAGTTTTACGTTTACTTATCTCCCAGGAGGAAAATTAATGGAGCATTATTAAGGTGAATAAAAGACTGTAGCGAGATGATAAGGACAGACGTGTATTCAAGTTAGGCTTTGTACATTCAGTGGTGTTTAGCATGAGGGCCATCGCTTAGTATTTTGCAGGTGTATTTTTTTGCATTTGAAATTGTTTTCTTTTTCTTAGGCCGCAGTTTTAGAAACATGTTGAATGTTATCCTAAGTTAACTTAACCGAAAGTTTTCTATTAACAGGAGGTTATTAAGCTTTCTTAAGGAGTAATTTTCATTAATTTGTATATTTCCAAGGGAATATGATAATTATATACATGTATGATCCACCAATATTCTTATATCTGTGGAGTATAATGATTGTAATAGTCTAGGATAATGCTTTAATACAGTGGTTCCCAATCTTTTTCACCCTGTGGCCCCCGACCAATATTTAATAATCTCCATGGTCCCGTTCAGTGACTCATCTTTTCAGATTCAATTCCAATTCCCTGATACGTGAGGATATAATTATATGTCGGTACTGCAGGTGAGATAAAATTCAGCTTAATCCGACGTCATAATTTTCATATTCTTCCATGGCCCCCCAGAAAGTACCACGTGGCCGCCCAAGGGGTCCACGGCCCTCAGATTGGGAACCCCTGCCTTTTTGTGTCACCAGATCGTACAAATTGAGAACTACTGTTCCTCATCAGGAAGCAATAAGTAACAAAAGGATCACAAATAGATATACCTTCCTGCTTATGTACATGTGTGGAAAAGTATGAATGAGAATATCTTCACAATACAAGAGATACTCGTTCTCATTCATACCTTGGCACATTTGTCAACATGAATACGGTTCATTTATGTACATGTGTTTGGACTGTTTTGAAATCCAGTTCACAAGTATCTTTTTTTGTACACAGAATTCCCAGCCTTAAGAGGCGACTTTTATCTGCTGAAGAGTGGCTGCTTTTTATTATTTTTTAGAAGAGATTTTTGACATGGTACCGCCCTTGTTTCTCATGAGAAGTGTCACAGATGCAGCGAAAAGTGCTGCTTATCTCAAAAAATTTTTTTTCTTATTCTTCTTATCATTATATTATTATCATTATGTTATTAGTCATACAATCATCATTATCTTTATTATTTCTATTATTATCTTTTATTGTTATTAGTCATACAATTATCATTATCTTTATTATTTCTATTATCATCATAATTGTAATAGTATAATGTTTATCATTATCATTGTTATCATTATTATTATCTTTATTACCACTATTATTATTATCATCATTATTATAATTATTATCATTATTGTTATCATTATTATTACTATGATTATATAATTATTATACTATCATCATTATTATTATTATTATTATTACTGTTATTATCATCATTATTATTATTTTTATTTATTTATTTATTCTTTTT